AAAAAATAATTTTATTGACATTGATAAAAAAATTCTAAATGACATCAATGGAAACATATATCATTAATGTTGGTAAAAAAAATGATTGCAAAAAAAAATCTGGAAATTAACCACAATCGATTGTTAACATGAGAGAAATATTCATTATTATTAATAAAATGTGTTAAAGTATATGTATCTCAATTTCAAAACGATAACGGAATAAAAAAAATAAAAAAATGTATACATGAATTAATTAAAAAAATTTCAAAAGTTCAAAATTCTTACTATTTAATTATAATTTAAAATTTTCTAAATCTAAATGATCAAATTCCTCTCTTAAAGTTTTAAAATTCAATATTTTAATTTTTTATTTAAATGATTATATAAAATGTTTTAACCTTTTTATAAAATTAACTATCTTCCACAATATTTTTTCTGACACATTGCGACATATATTTCTTCCTCATGTATCAACATTTTTTATGTGAGATTGCTTAACTTTTCGTAAGTTGGTGTGAGTAACATAAACAATTAGAAAGCTCAAAAGATACAACAATGGAAAGAAGCATAAAAAACAGAGAGAGACATAAGTGAATAAAACATAGAAACATGGATCCACCATTAAAATGGTCGTGTTGTTTGGATGATGAGATCAAAGAGAAAAAAAAACAGCATGACAGTCAATAACAAATGCTTGTTGGTTAAGCATAAATCAGACTATCCATTCATGTAAGGAATTGAAGTGGTAGAAGTTAAAAAATATAAATCCTAAAAATAAAATTGTATTAAAGGGTAAAACAGGAATAAAAAGATAAAAGAAGGAATAAAACATAAATAAGGAGGTGGAGGGAACAACACCCCGCAGTTCCTTGTAGAAGTCCACCAACTTTGTGTTGCGCGTGTAGAAAGCCCAATTGTGATTGGAATTTAGAATTTCAGAAGCCCATCTCAAGAGAAAGAATATATTTTTGTTATTGATGCATAAATACATATAAAAGAAGGATTATATAACATTACTGAAACGAACCCGAAAAATTATATTATTTAATAATTAAAAAATTTAATATAAAAACATTATAAGAAGCTATTTTAAGGGAATTTGATTTGTTATAATATTTTATGAGCTTCTTATGAGTTTTATTTAATTGATATTTTGTAAAATTTATATTTTAATATTTTTTTATTTATATTTAACTTGTTTATAATTTTAAAAAAAATCAATTTAAGAATATAGTTATACATATTTTGTATCCTTGTAACTTGTAATTTTAGTCTTAAATTTGAGAGACTTACAACACTCCTCAGAACATTAAATTAACATGTTTTAATGAAGCTTTTTTGCATAAGACCTTTATGTTAAATTCAAGACATTGATTAAGGCTCTTATATTGGAATTTATCTTACACTTAGAACGTACTTCAAATGGAGTTTAGGGTGTTTAGTAAATGAGATTTCAAATTAAATGGGGGCATCATCAAATTAAACAGTTTTATTCAATGTGTATTTTTGTTACATTTCAAAGGATCAATTGAAATTTACCAAATAACTGAACAGTGATTATTAATACGAAAATTAATGGCTAATAATAATACCAAATAACTGAACAGTGATTATAATGATTAAAATTAATAAATTGAGTATGGTTCCATTCCAGACGCAGTGGCAGCGCAGTAGATGATACGATGATGAGGTGTGTCGGTTATGGAGGACACGTGGAAGGATGTAATTGAGGGCGGAAGGTGCAACGTGTCAGCGATAGAAAAGCTTACCCGAGTTGCGTATCAATACTTCTAAACGCTTTTTTTTCTTCCTCTTTTTTATTGCGTCGGTGAAGCAACTACTTTCTCCCACTACCACACTCTATCCTTCTTCACTCACTCTCTCGCTTGACACGTTAAAAATAAATCACAAACACGCCTTTCCACATTTTTTGCCCTACGCTTCTAGAATCATCCAAATTATAATTATCCATATTTTCCTTTTCCATCTCATAATTATTATTATCCATATTTTCCTTTTTTTAAACATGTTTTTAATTTAAACATCAAAACTTTACTAAAATAAATGCACAATGTAAGTTGATGGTGGACCAATGAATCAGATAAATCATCTATTTTTCATTAAAAAAAAGGTAGAATTAATCAGTCGGGTCATTTATTCGAACAATTCAACAAATTGAATGAGGAAAACAGTCAAACAGTTTATAACGAGTTTAATTTATTTAACTTTAATTAAATCGGTTGAAAACATTGGCGAAAATAATCAATTTAAACTATTTCCTTTTATACTGTCCTGAAATGTACAAGTACGTTCATTTGTCACATTTAACATTTTTAAGGTAATAAGTCACAAAAAGCAACGTCTTTGTTACATTAATAACCAGTGTAAGTTTTAACTATTAAATTACCTTTTACCATTGGTTTTCAGTACATTTAACTGTTCGAAGATTATTTATCCTTTTTCCTTTTATAAACAAATCGAGACTTTTTTAAAAGCAAAAATTGCATTGATCAGTTTTTTTTTAAAACAAAAAAATTAACCTACATCTGTCGTTTAATTATAAAATGGGAATCGCTATCGAAGTTATGAGTATTCACTTTTTTTCTCCGATAAAAAAATTAACGATATTTTTGTACGTGCGTGGAATGTGATGTTAAAAGTGAGAAGATTTGTGGAAAATATAAGCAAGGAAATAGAAAAATTGATTTGACAGAAATGGTTGTAGTTTGACAAATATAGAATTATTCTCCTCTTATTCGAAATAGTAGTTGTTTGAATTGTTCTAATTAAAAAAAAAAGTATTTGTATGAATTAATTTGCGGCGAAGATGAGGTGGCACGTGGTGATTATCTTGGTGAGTATAAGCTTAGTTGTAGTGTGGCAAGTAACGAATGAACGATGAGAGATGTCATGGCAGTGAAAGTGGTTGCCCAAACCACGAAACTCTAAAGCGAAGCCAAGAGGATCTGTGACTGTGATCAAAGCCATGACGACAACATCCCCTTCCTTTTATCGCCACGAGGCGTCTAAACCAACTTCCCATTTTCCATTTTGCTTTTTCAAATATCAAACGGTCAAACCTTTCTTTTTCTTCCTTCCTAATCACAACACTCATATGTCTAATTTCTCATGCTTCCTTCCGAATCACATTCCATATGCATATATATCTGGGATAAGGATGTGAACTCGTACGCAATTTAATTAATATTTAGAAGCCTTAACTACATACTTAAACTGGGTGTTATCTAAAATATTAAACTATTGGCAATAGTATCACGCAGATTAAATTAGCACATATGTGGAAATACTAAAGGTTGTGAAGGAGTGATGATAGATTTTTGGCTTGGGTTAGTGTGTGTGTGGGGCAATGAATGTGCATACACCGAAACAGAAAAAGGGTAAAGATAAACGCAGACAGACGTATTACGTAACGCAGCTTTGACTTGGAAAAAGTCATCCAAGTGAATCCCCTCGCTCTTTAGTTGACCGACTTCACTCTCTTTCCATCATAGCACCAACTCATATCCTTTCATCCCTATATAAACACCACACCCTCTATTCTCACACCCACTTCCTCATCCACTAAACTACCTCTCTCACACACACTCCTATAACTCTCTGCTATCTCGGACTACACACACCTAACCAAAAACTACCTCCAATCATCGTATTTCAATTTAGGGTTCCTTCATTAATGGCTTTGGAGGCTTTGAATTCTCCAACAGCGCCCGCCGCTCCCTTCCGTGCCTATCAAGAAGAGGAGGAGCTTGACCTTCAGTTCCGCGAGCCTTGGTCTAAAAGGAAGCGATCGAAACGACCCCGTTTTGAGACCGAGGAAGAGTATCTCGCTCTTTGCCTCATCATGCTCGCGCAGGGCGGCAACAACACCAACACTTCCTCCCACCGCCAAACTCAACACTCGGAGTCTCAGAAAGAACCGTCACCGCCGCTCAAGTTATCCCACAGGTGCACCGTTTGCAACAAGGCTTTTCCTTCTTATCAAGCGCTCGGTGGACACAAGGCCAGCCACCGCAAGTCCTCGTCGGAATCTACCTCTGTCTCCGCCGTCGCCAGCGACAGCGTCACCGCTNATATTTCTTCCTCATGTATCAACATTTTTTATGTGAGATTGCTTAACTTTTCGTAAGTTGGTGTGAGTAACATAAACAATTAGAAAGCTCAAAAGATACAACAATGGAAAGAAGCATAAAAAACAGAGAGAGACATAAGTGAATAAAACATAGAAACATGGATCCACCATTAAAATGGTCGTGTTGTTTGGATGATGAGATCAAAGAGAAAAAAAAACAGCATGACAGTCAATAACAAATGCTTGTTGGTTAAGCATAAATCAGACTATCCATTCATGTAAGGAATTGAAGTGGTAGAAGTTAAAAAATATAAATCCTAAAAATAAAATTGTATTAAAGGGTAAAACAGGAATAAAAAGATAAAAGAAGGAATAAAACATAAATAAGGAGGTGGAGGGAACAACACCCCGCAGTTCCTTGTAGAAGTCCACCAACTTTGTGTTGCGCGTGTAGAAAGCCCAATTGTGATCGAAGTTAGAATTTCAGAAGCCCATCTCAAGAGAAAGAATATATTTTTGTTATTGATGCATAAATACATATAAAAGAAGGATTATATAACATTACTGAAACGAACCCGAAAAATTATATTATTTAATAATTAAAAAAATTAATATAAGAACATTATAAGAAGCTATTTTAAGGGAATTTGATTTGTTATAATATTTTATGAGCTTCTTATGAGTTTTATTTAATTGGTATTTTGTAAAATTTATATTTTAATATTTTTTTATTTATATTTAACTTGTTTATAATTTAAAAAAAAATCAATTTAAGAATATAGTTATACATATTTTGTATCCTTGTAACTTGTAATTTTAGTCTTAAATTTGAGAGACTTACAACACTCCTCAGAACATTAAATTAACATGTTTTAATGAAGCTTTTTTGCATAAGACCTTTATGTTAAATTCAAGACATTGATTAAGGCTCTTATATTGGAATTTATCTTACACTTAGAACTTACTTCAAATGGAGTTTAGGGTGTTTAGTAAATGAGATTTCAAATTAAATGGGGACATCATCAAATTAAACAGTTTTATTCAATGTGTATTTTTGTTACATTTCAAAGGATCAATTGAAATTTACCAAATAACTGAACAGTGATTATTAATACGAAAATTAATGGCTAATAATAATACCAAATAACTGAACAGTGATTATAATGATTAAAATTAATAAATTGAGTATGGTTCCATTCCAGACGCAGTGGCAGCGCAGTAGATGATACGATGATGAGGTGTGTCGGTTATGGAGGACACGTGGAAGGATGTAATTGAGGGCGGAAGGTGCAACGTGTCAGCGATAGAAAAGCTTACCCGAGTTGCGTATCAATACTTCTAAACGCTTTTTTTTCTTCCTCTTTTTTATTGCGTCGGTGAAGCAACTACTTTCTCCCACTACCACACTCTATCCTTCTTCACTCACTCTCTCGCTTGACACGTTAAAAATAAATCACAAACACGCCTTTCCACATTTTTTGCCCTACGCTTCTAGAATCATCCAAATTATAATTATCCATATTTTCCTTTTCCATCTCATAATTATTATTATCCATATTTTCCTTTTTTTAAACATGTTTTTAATTTAAACATCAAAACTTTACTAAAATAAATGCACAATGTAAGTTGATGGTGGACCAATGAATCAGATAAATCATCTATTTTTCATTAAAAAAAAGGTAGAATTAATCAGTCGGGTCATTTATTCGAACAATTCAACAAATTGAATGAGGAAAACAGTCAAACAGTTTATAACGAGTTTAATTTATTTAACTTTAATTAAATCGGTTGAAAACATTGGCGAAAATAATCAATTTAAACTATTTCCTTTTATACTGTCCTGAAATGTACAAGTACGTTCATTTGTCACATTTAACATTTTTAAGGTAATAAGTCACAAAAAGCAACGTCTTTGTTACATTAATAACCAGTGTAAGTTTTAACTATTAAATTACCTTTTACCATTGGTTTTCAGTACATTTAACTGTTCGAAGATTATTTATCCTTTTTCCTTTTATAAACAAATCGAGACTTTTTTAAAAGCAAAAATTGCATTGATCAGTTTTTTTTTAAAACAAAAAAATTAACCTACATCTGTCGTTTAATTATAAAATGGGAATCGCTATCGAAGTTATGAGTATTCACTTTTTTTCTCCGATAAAAAAATTAACGATATTTTTGTACGTGCGTGGAATGTGATGTTAAAAGTGAGAAGATTTGTGGAAAATATAAGCAAGGAAATAGAAAAATTGATTTGACAGAAATGGTTGTAGTTTGACAAATATAGAATTATTCTCCTCTTATTCGAAATAGTAGTTGTTTGAATTGTTCTAATTAAAAAAAAAAAGTATTTGTATGAATTAATTTGCGGCGAAGATGAGGTGGCACGTGGTGATTATCTTGGTGAGTATAAGCTTAGTTGTAGTGTGGCAAGTAACGAATGAACGATGAGAGATGACATGGCAGTGAAAGTGGTTGCCCAAACCACGAAACTCTAAAGCGAAGCCAAGAGGATCTGTGACTGTGATCAAAGCCATGACGACAACATCCCCTTCCTTTTATCGCCACGAGGCGTCTAAACCAACTTCCCATTTTCCATTTTGCTTTTTCAAATATCAAACGGTCAAACCTTTCTTTTTCTTCCTTCCTAATCACAACACTCATATGTCTAATTTCTCATGCTTCCTTCCGAATCACATTCCATATGCATATATATCTGGGATAAGGATGTGAACTCGTACGCAATTTAATTAATATTTAGAAGCCTTAACTACATACTTAAACTGGGTGTTATCTAAAATATTAAACTATTGGCAATAGTATCACGCAGATTAAATTAGCACATATGTGGAAATACTAAAGGTTGTGAAGGAGTGATGATAGATTTTTGGCTTGGGTTAGTGTGTGTGTGGGGCAATGAATGTGCATACACCGAAACAGAAAAAGGGTAAAGATAAACGCAGACAGACGTATTACGTAACGCAGCTTTGACTTGGAAAAAGTCATCCAAGTGAATCCCCTCGCTCTTTAGTTGACCGACTTCACTCTCTTTCCATCATAGCACCAACTCATATCCTTTCATCCCTATATAAACACCACACCCTCTATTCTCACACCCACTTCCTCATCCACTAAACTACCTCTCTCACACACACTCCTATAACTCTCTGCTATCTCGGACTACACACACCTAACCAAAAACTACCTCCAATCATCGTATTTCAATTTAGGGTTCCTTCATTAATGGCTTTGGAGGCTTTGAATTCTCCAACAGCGCCCGCCGCTCCCTTCCGTGCCTATCAAGAAGAGGAGGAGCTTGACCTTCAGTTCCGCGAGCCTTGGTCTAAAAGGAAGCGATCGAAACGACCCCGTTTTGAGACCGAGGAAGAGTATCTCGCTCTTTGCCTCATCATGCTCGCGCAGGGCGGCAACAACACCAACACTTCCTCCCACCGCCAAACTCAACACTCGGAGTCTCAGAAAGAACCGTCACCGCCGCTCAAGTTATCCCACAGGTGCACCGTTTGCAACAAGGCTTTTCCTTCTTATCAAGCGCTCGGTGGACACAAGGCCAGCCACCGCAAGTCCTCGTCGGAATCTACCTCTGTCTCCGCCGTCGCCAGCGACAGCGTCACCGCTTCCACCGCCGGCGGCGGAAGGATGCACGAGTGTTCCATCTGTCACAAGAGTTTCCCCACCGGACAGGCCCTGGGTGGCCACAAGCGCTGCCACTACGACGGTGGAAACCACCACAGTAACAGCAACGCCCTCACTTCCTCCTCCGACGGCGTTGGCGGCGTTGCTGCCTCCTCCCACACGCTCCGTGGGATCGACCTGAACCTTCCGGCGCCGCTCACGGAATTCTGGCCGCCGGTGGGGTTCGACTTCAGGAAGAAAGTCGGCGGAGGCGACGAGCAAGAGGTGGAAAGCCCGTTGCCAATAACCGCAGCCAAGAAGGCGCGTTTGTTTTCGGGGGACGACCACGACGGTGATGATCAAAAGGCGTAGCTTGGTTCACCCAAGAAATGTTTATTTGAATTTGATTGTAATTCAATTTGCCGGTCTGGTGAATATGAATCGTAACCAATTAGTTTAATTTCCATTTGTTATTTTTATTTTTATTTTTATTTTCTTCTGTTTAGGAAGGATTGGGTTGGGATTAGGTTCGGATTTTGTTTCTGCTCATCTGTACAGATAAAATTTGTTCATTGCTTTTGGACTCTTCTTTGTCATTGATGTAATCTGACAAATTCGTTTATCAGTAAAATATCATTTACGTTAAAAATGAATACAAGTGATTTCTCATCATTCTTATACATTTACTTCTTCCATTGGTGTATGAATTTAAGTTGTTTATATACTCAAATTAATTCTCTCATCAACCATTCAATTGTATCACCGGTCATATTCGAAGAAAATTGTTAGAAGAAAATTAAACAATATAATCTTGACTTGCCTGTTTTTGTATTATCATGTAAAGATAATATCCACAGGAAATGAAAAAAAAAGTGAATTTAGACCACGTTGATTAAAGATGGTGAGACTAGGCAAGACACACGTCTAAATTCAGAAATTAATTTGGACCTTTTCTATGGAGTTAATGATAATAATAATAATAATACAAATACAGAAGTGTATCGAAGGTGGGTGGTATAACTGCAACCCATATTAATTGACAAGTGCTTAAGAATGGATTAAGTCAAGGTCTTTGTGTAATAAAATAATAAGATGGGCCCGTAAATATCACTGGAGGCCGCGTGAACAACGCAGGGACAGGAGGAACCAATTTTTTTTTGTTAATTTAGTTTATCTTCTTTCTCCACACCTTCTATCAACTGTATTTATTGACACTCACTTCCTCACATTTAATTTCGCTAATTAATCCCACACAACTCCTCTATATCTGGCATAAAGATCTAGAATTTAGTTGTGCAATGAGATAATAATGACATAATAACAAAATAAAAAAATAGTAATGAAAGGCTAGCCACACCCGATGCGATGATGTTAGGGCAATGTGGGTTGAACCGAAACCCTCCCCTCCCATGTGGTTACTGCTGCCTTTAATGCACATGTTGGTATCATCATACCAAATTTGCAACCGCTTTATTATGTGGCTAAGGACACTTCTTATTGGGTTGGTAAATCCATCCACCCACTAATTAATAAAACCTCTTTCTATCTATCCACTCTCCAGAATCTTGTATTAGGCAACATACCTACTGCTCTCTCACTCATCCTTTCACAATTAATAATATAAAGCTTTCAGAATTATCTCTTTTTTTTTATTCTTCGGTAATTCCTTCTCGTCCTTTTAAATATTCAGCGTACATCTTTTGTTTCATTCAAAGTAATCGTAATATCATTAAAGCAATCGATTGGAGGCAGTATGAGGGAGTTTTATCTGGCAAAGACGTGTGGAGAATGCTTCAACGTGTGGTACAGTGTAGTAGTGATAATGCATTCAACCGAGCTACCTTAATTATTAATTAATTAGTTGTGTTGTTTGTGAGGAACTTATATAATTTTCGATGGTTTCTTTGGGATGCAAAAGCGTATGATCCTCACGCGTTATGTGTCTATGTAGAATCGAAACGATGGGGTTGAATTAAGAAGTTGTGACTTGAAGGAGTGTGAATCCTATGCTACATGCGTGTCGTGTTGTCAAAGTCGGTTCCTCCAAACACGCTCTTCACTCACACATATTCTATACCATTATACTCTATGCTAATCCAAACTCATACGTTTTTGCTCCTTCCTTAGCCCATATTTTTCCATTCACCACATCTCCTTATAATATATACTTTCTTTCCATCAAATTAGTGTACTCCGCTAATGTGTGTACACACACATAACTTTGATATATAGTTTTTAATTTAAAAAAATGAAATAAAACACGTTCTCTGTACTCATACCTTCCCATTCGAACGGGATAAGGCTTTTAAGGGTTGAAATGAAATAAAACCAATTAAATTAATTAAATCTCATTGAAATAGCGATTGAATAAATAAATAAAAATAATAAAATTGGTTTTAGCAGTGTGTGAAAGCACGGTATGGACAGCGTGATCCACGTACACCTATGCAGAAAATGAGGAGAAGAAGGATAAGATGAAAGGAATTTGTGTCCTTCACGTATGGGAGGTAAATATAGAGGAAGAAGGTCTTGCGTTGTTGCGTATGCTTTGTCATTTTAGAACGGTAAAGCAGCATAAGTCAGCTTCTTCAATGCACGTACCACCACTTACCACCTTCCCAAGAAACAAATTAACTAATCAATCTCCTTCTTAATTACGATTTCAGTAATCTCCATCATGCAAATTTAACATGTACGTGGATCTCAACATCACTTTAAAACCTTCAACCACAGACGTGAAAGAAACACCACCTCTTCTGCATTATTCATTCCCTCCATCTTTCTTTTAATTACTCCTTTCTCACTCCATTAATTTTGTGACAAGTGCACTTTTCATCACTCTACAGCATGCCCGTTACTTAAAAGAAACTGTCAAAATTTACTTAATGCAAGTCACGAAAACTCTTGTATTATAACTATCCTGTCACGCTATTCAGTATAGTGACTTTGCTCAAAGTGACGCTTATAATTAGTTTATTCGGAGATCAACTCAACCAAACACAAAAAAACAAAAACCATAAAACAAACATAAAATTCAGTGAGCCGCCTCATTATACTATGGTCCTTATCACGAAATCTTATCCTACGTTCAATCTTTTCTTAGATTATCAAAAATAAATCAATTATTAATAAGCAGTTCAACTCCTTAGTTAAATAAACAATTCTCAATAGTTCATGCGTAATTGGATTGGTTATTAGAAATAACATTAATAAAAGATATTTAATTTTTCAAATGCAAAACATTTTAGGATTTTTTTTTGGATTTTCTTTGATAAAAATGAAAAAAAAAACAGAAATAATAATACATGTTTACATATTAGGGTATTTTTGTAAGAGCCTGAAAAAGTTTAAGGCCATTGGGCCCTATGTGGAGCAGTCAGGCCCATCAGCCTAAGGCTAGCTTAA